TATGTACATGTAGTGCTAATGTTCTATTGGATTTATCATTCCGTGCAAAAGTTGGAGATTTTGGTCTAGTAAGAGCTATAGGCCATCAGCCTGCAAGTCATGGCATTCGTCAAAGTCAAACTGCTAGGATAGTTGGGACATCAGGTTATATTGCACCTGAATATTACAGAGGAGTCATCACTACTAAACTGGATACTTATGCTTTTGGAGTAGTGAGTAGTTATAGCAAGTGCATTCTATTGCAGATTATTAATGTACACGTAGGTATTACTAGAAATACTGACTGGTTTGCCAAGTTATGATCCTAAAAGAAATCAAGAATATTCAGACTTGGTAAGGAGAGAAAAGATCTAACTTAGACCAGTGATGTGCATCTTGTTTCATAGGTTACTTTCATTGAAACGATGACAAGAAGAAAAGACTTTCTTCTGGTACAATATGTGGATAGCCTTGCTGGCGATTGGCCTAGCCGCTCTTTCTTTAAATTATTCAGCATTGCCCAAAGGTGCCTGACAGAAAGTCATTTTGACAGACCTGGAATGAATGAGGTAATAATTGATGCACTGCATTGTAAATAAATGGATTTTATTTTAAAGATATATGTTCTACTTGAGGAGCTGTCTTTATTAAGTGGTCAGTTATTTGCAGAAGAAAACAAAACGAAAAAGAAAACCTAATTTTTAATCAAATTAATTTTATGTCTGATATTACATTACCATTCCTGTTTGTTGGCAACAGAGACACTAACTTTATTCATGCTTCATGATACTCCTGTGCGTTTTAGGCTACATACTTTTTGGAAAACATGCTCAAATATTACTGCAGTCTAGTAATAGTCAGAGCTAAACTTTGAGAATCCATTACATTTGGCAACAGCAGGATTAGTTTAATCAGAACAAGTTGAAAGGAGGATAGATTTGTAATTATGATGCTAGTAGTATAGATATTAAATACTCTAATATCTATGGACTAGCTAGTACTAGTAGTGCAGTATTATAGTGCAGTAGTAGTGCA